GAATAATGGTATAGCAATATATTAAATATATAACTAGAATTTGTAATTAATTAACTTTTCATTAGCTGCACTTGTTTATTTTCCTAAAGATACTGCAGGACTGCAAGGAACTACGCATTATAGACTAGGCAGTTGCAATCAGATACTGAAACTAGATATTGTTTCTGTTGATCCTACAGAGCATGGGTTGGAATGTGAAATAAAGCACACTGTGTACGCCAACATTTTAAAATACTTTTTGATCTCAAAAACATAACCTTGACCTCAAATTCTATGACTTTACATCATCTTTTCAACCCAAGTATGAGCTTGATTCCAATATTCTCCCTCTTTAGACTGTTCACATTAGTTGGTTCATTCATTGTGATCTTGCTTGTGACTTCATATACTTTCCCATTAAACACCAACACAATTTTTATGAATTTACGTCTCTGAACATTTAATTAATATGTATCAAATATTTTCATTTGCTCTTTTCATAACTGTTCCCAATAAGTTAGATTTCATTATTTACAACTGAGCAATTTTTCAATTAGTTTTCCTAGTAATTTCAGTGTAACTAATTATGAGTGGATGAACTTTTAGGGAATTGTACTCTCAACACATCTGGAGGACAACAGATTGGAAAATCTATAGTAGGTTAAGAGTCTAATGATTGATTATATGCCATCAAGTCATTTTCAACTACTAGCAACCACATACAGTAGATAGATTCTCTCCATAACAATCTATCCCTAACCTGTTCTTTCAAGTCTCCCAACGTTGCACTCATCGCCACTGTAACAGCCCATCCACCTTGCTGCATATCATCCTCTTCTCTTTCCTTCCACCTTTCCCAGCATTAGAGTCTTTTCCAGAGAATTGGGTCTTTGCATAATATGTCCAAACTAGGATAATTTGAGCCTAGTTATTTGTGCCTTGAGTGAGAACTCTGGGCGTATTTGTTCAATGATCCATCATATCTAATAGCCCTTGTGATTTAAAGAGGGCAGGTGCCCTATTCTCATGAAGCACTACTGAGATTTGGAAGACAATATTGCGTAAACTGCACCTCCAGTTCTAAGTAACACAAAAGTATCAGTCTCTTACATAGCAGAATACAAGAAGCAAAGGCAAATGGTTCTTCATATGACTGTTGTACCAAACAAACAAACTGATCTATTCTTGTAAAAGCCTGCTTCTGCCCTGTGGAATAGCATCTCCCCAGAAATCCAGATGGCCCAGACCCTGATAAATTTTTGTAAGGCTCTGAAGACCTGGCTGTTCCCCGAAGCATTTGGGCAGAAGGTGAGGTGAGCTCTGCTGGTGAGGTGGCTTTTTGTTTGGGGTAGTGGAAACAGGGTTGTTGTTTCAACCAGGGCATCATGGGTTATATGTTGTGGTGCTGGTGGTTTTATTCTTTGTATGCCATCAAGAGTCACTGCTGTCAGATGGGTGTCTGTAGAAGTAATTTAAATAAATAAATGAATAAATTGGCATTTTCCTTCACTAGCAATATTAAACACAAATGAAAAAAATAAACCCTTGTTCTTGCATGGTTTGCCTAAATTTGTTATTCATTTGGTTTCTGTTACAGTATTAATTATTTTTTTGCTGCTTCTGAAATTACACAAAGGTATATAGAGATATATAAGCATTAGATTTGGTAATTGGATTTGTAAAAGCAAAACACACCTTGAATTACTGTTGATTTGGGTTACTGGAGCATGGAACATTAAGAATAAGATTGAAATAGATGTGAATGACCACATTTACATTGTGTAATGTATAGCAAAGGATTTCAGTGGGCCTGTGAATGCACTGCTAAGAAAAACAATGACCATTTCACAACATGCCCTATTGCTGCTGTGTGCATTCCTGTCCATCGAATAATGCTAACAGCAAACCAGCAGGAACACACTGCATAGTGGCAGTCTCTGGAAAACCTGTTTTTATTCTTTGTCTCGCTTCAAGGTCAGATGGAACATATCTCAAACATGTTTGATTTGTGCTTATCAACATTTTTGCCCCCTCTGTTTACCATGCAGTCCAGCTCCCAGTTCATATTTAACTCTTTTAGTGCAGCCCAAGGAGAAACCCTTCAATCTTTCCCAGCATTGATGCCTTTGAACTGTGGTGCTGGAGAAGACTCTTGAGAGTCCCCTGGACTGCTA